GGACCGCAACTCGGCCCAAATGCAGCTATAATGACCGGGTGTTCTTATCTGGACCGCAACTCGGCCCAAATGCAGCTATAATGACCGGGTGTTCTATTCGGGTGAAGACGATAGTCTGATACAAGGCCTACAGTGGCCTGACCCCAGCGTAGAGCGGCCGGTTGGAACGGTTCCGTGTTCCCAAAGGCACTCTCCCCCCTCCACCCCTACTGAACCTCCCCTGCGGTCAAATCCCCGAACCAAGATGCCCTGGTTCGTCCTAAGTCACCACTCTACCACCTTGTTTGCCTGCCCCCTAGAGTAAGAGGGGACTTCAAGCCTACCCCTATACTGCCTCTATCCAGTTGCAGAGCACGAGTCTCCCCTTCGGAGTGATATGGGCGAGCTGGTCTCTGCTGCACCAAGTTCGACGCTGCATGCCGCTGGATCTATTGCCTTGCATTGCTCTGAGGGACCGATCAGCCTTGATTGCTGCTGCCAGGAGAACTTTGAAGGTTGCTCCAGCTCGTCATTCTGTACGCCTGTGTAAGGTCGCCTGCCTGGATTCTCAGACCGTTCCTATCCACCATTTTATCTGTTTGGGGATTCTTGCTACATTCTATTCTTTTCTTGTTTGGCTGTTCTGATTTCGACTGACTTAGGTCAGTCCCTTTTTAAAGTATTTTTGTCTGCTCCAGGTTTTGTCCGGCCTTGGGTGAGCCGTTTCAGAATTTCTTTATCTAAACAAGCGATTGAGCCTATTGTGCCTGTTTTCTTTGTCTAAAGTTCTGAACAAGCGATTGAGCCTATTGTGCCTATTTGGATCAGTGCACTTCGACGTTTTGACCGTTGTGAGGCCCAGCAGACTTCTGTCCGCTGCTGGGATGGACCAGGTTTGTCCTGTAATCCATGGCCCAGCCCTCGTCCCTTCTGTACCTGTCCTGCTGCATCGACAGGGATGCGTGGACTTTCAGTGAGGACCCAGGCTGGCACGTTTTTGGGCCCAGCGACTAGACCAGGACGTGAGCCTGCATCTAGGATCATCTATCGCACATTGGATCCGACAGCCCTAGATTCAGGCTGAGGTGAGTTCCAGTAGACCCAGCAGTATATAGCTGGGCCAGCGCTCATTTGAGGGCATGCAGTACAGATGTTGCAGAAGCAGCAACATCTTCCTGGCCAAGGTGGTCACCCCTTCGCTGCACAGCTGCATCCAGCTACAGGAGGACATTCGCCGGTCGAGACAGACCCATCTGAGGTGTTGCTGGATCAGGGCAAGCGCAAGCATTGGCAAGGCGCCCAAAGCAATGGGTTTGATGATCTTTGATCGGATGGTGTGCAAGCTCGCCACTTGAAACACACTTCATGCAGTTGGAGCAGCTGCCAGAAGCAGCAACCGCAGTCGCAGCAGTTGCTATATCATCCACGTCAGGCATACAGCGGAGCAGCGCCGGGACCGCGTTGAAGTAGCTACCCATTCGAGGTGCGCCTCCCAACCTCTCGAGAAGACTGTCAAGTTTTTCTTCTTTTGAATGAAGAGAACAGGTGGGGTTGTAGATACTCGAGACGGGTGTAACCAATACGGCTTGGAGAGCTCATACAAGTGCCGCATATGGCGATCTGCTAGGGGGTTAATCCACACCCTTTGGAGGAGCCATTCCACATACGGCGAGTTGCAACCACTACCCATTTTACGTGATCCAAGTCCCTCGATTGCCACGGGTATCACACGGACCCTTCCGTCGATCACATCGACATTTTGACAGTTGCTGACCAGTTGAGCGAATACTTGTGCTTCCTTTCAAGAAAGAACCACGCCAAGGCTCCCAGCTAGCAGAAATCTTGCACACAGGTTGGATATACTCTCATATTGTCCCCTAGGATATAATCAGCAATGGCGACATTAAATTTACGTCCAACTTCGGGACCGCCTTATGAGGTGTGCCATACGCAAAAAGAAAGGATCCGCCAAGCACCTGCAAACCAGCGGGCACACAAACAAAGTGCACCAGACAGCCCAGCTGATGCTCCGTGCTCTCATCTGTCCCTATCAGGACCGATTGTCTGGATTGGATGCAGCATCTTGCCAACATTCAATTCACCAAGAGCCGGCCGACAAGCCCGGTTGCCCGTTGATCCCCTTTCTCTAGGAGTCGGCTCCAATGCTTCTTGGGATGCCCGCTTCTCTATGCAAGCCAGATCCCCTCGTCCTAGAACTGACTCCGATGCTCCCAGCACACCCACTTTTCTACACAAGGTTCGAATCCTGCCTCTCCCACTTCGTGGCCTTCATACATTCATGAATTACATGTAATGTACTTGTGGGGGCGAAAGTCTAGGATGGATCTATTCTATTATTATCTGATGGTAGATGTGGGGTCTCATCCCAAAAGCTCAGGACGAGATGCACATTCAGCAGCAAGCCAACCAATCCGATTCCCCTCGTCCTAGAGCTGGCACCGATGCTCCCAGCACACCCACTTTTCTACACAAGATGTGGGGTCTCATCCCAAAAGCTCAGGACGAGATGCACAAGGCACAGATGCACATTCAGCAGCAAGCCAACTGACATTGGCTACCTTGTCCATTCCTTAGTTCCAGTCTACCTTGCCCATCTCAGGGAAGCTCCTACCAGGCTGACCTATTATCAATCTAACTTGCCCATCTCAAGGACGCTCCTGCGCACGTGGACCTTCATTCACCATTGACGTGTCGCCCCACGGATTACAGGACAGACCTGGTCCATCCCAGCAGCGGACAGAAGTCTTCTGGGCCTCAAAACGGTCCAATCGTTGAAACAAGTGCACTGGTCCAAACAGGCACAATAGGCTCGATCGCATGTTTAGACGAAGAAAACAGTCCGGCATCAGCGGGTGGTCAGCCCCGTGGACCTTCATTCACAGTTGACGTGTCGCCCCACTTCAGCATACACCCTTCATTTGCCATGGACTTGCCATTGACGTTTTGCCCCACTTCTGCGTACATCGGATTTTTCACATGCCCAAGCTGGCTTCACGATGTATTTGTGGGAGTCGATGATGCACTATTCTAATTTGGCTTCCACACTGAAGTCCCACCCTCTTGTTCTGGCCCTTCCCATACTTACCTCCATCTTCGACCTCCATCATTCGTGGATCTTCTTCCCATGGGTGTCTTTCGCAAGAAGGGATCCTTTGTTTACGTATGTTCCCCTCGTTGCATCTTGGCATGATGATGATGTATGGATGTGTTGAGCCAGTCCTTTGTCTACGTATGTTCCCCTCATTGCATCTTGGCATGATGATGATGTAGCCAGATTCTTGGGTCCGCATCATGCTTACCCATTCGTGTGCATGCAACACAGAAGCAGAATGAAATGGAAAGCACGAACGTGAAGATGGTCGGCGGAAAGGACGTGGACGAGAGGAGGAGCAGAACGACCGCCGAGAAAGGACACTGCTGATAGCAATGTTGATGGCAATGATGTTGTTCATCTTGAGGTGATATCAGAGACGATCGCAAAGATGGTGATGCTCCCAGACAGCACCTGGAAGTCATTCGAACTATTTGTTGTTGACAGCAAGGATGTCAATGGTCTGCACATGGGTACAATTGGTGGGCATCGAACCGACTGCTATTCGTAGGGATGAAACCCGGCTGCAATACTAACTGCATGAATCTAGGGGGAACCATAGATTGTGGCCTGTGGGAACAACGATTCGTCGCACCCCACTTCAAACTCGAGCCTACTCCTCAATCAGCCAAAAGCTCAGATGACGTAGAGAAAGGCACGATATTCATAACCTAAGGAGCACTAGCTATGAAGAATTCCGGGCCAGTGGCCTATTCAGCAGTCTTATGAAAGACAAAAATCTATGGATTGCTGCCTATAAGAAGCTAGCGCCTAGTCCAGGCTCCCACGACCATCTTAAGAACAGACTTTGATAAACGAATAGGAACACAGAGAACAACGAGTACTATATCTTATCCCAATGACCGACTCTATAGACTATATAGATTCAAGGAGAGAACAACCAGCACATAGAGCAGAGCTTAGTCTCCTCGGAAGTGAAGAAACGAGAAGCTAATCATTGGTTGAAACCAGACTACTACTCAGATGGTGATATCCAAGCAGAGTAACCAAAAGATCATAAGTATCATCATACCCCTCAATAAAACGCCCAATTGTGCAGACCTGATTCCTCCAAGAAAGTGGACACAGAAGATCTGTTAAGATGGAGAACTGATAGCAGCAAGAGAAAAATGACCAGCAAAGAGCAGACAAAAGATCCACAGGGTCATAACCACTGTACACCAGCTTCCGCAAAGCAAAACCAATGCCAACCAAATGCTCTGCACCATATCACATGTCTGAGCAAATTTTAAAACAACACACGCAACTTGATCACACCACCCAAGAATGCCACATCCTAGATCGCAGCACCAAACATACAAAATGGTGCCCAAGTACGCTACGTATGTCCGCAATCTAAACAGCCAAGGAAGCTAATGGCAGTCATTCAAGTCCTTAGGAACAACCTGAGCAGCCCTGATGACTGCGCTATGCCGAAGGACAAGCAAGTCAGGGTGGTGATGACTGCGCTACGCTGGCCCAGCTAGATACCGCTGTGTCTACTGGAATCTAGGGCTGTCCGATCCAATGTGCGACAGATGATCCTAGATGCAGGCTCAAGCCCTGGTCTAGTCACTGGGCCCAAAAACGTGCCAAGACCCTCCGATGCACCAGGGCAGGTACACAGGGACAAGGGCTATGTCGAACACAGGTGTCTTTGTAACGGACCAATCTTGACACCTGTGTTCGACGACTCTGCGGCTGTCTCAACTGGTGTCCATCAAGAAGCATGGTGTCAGGATGGTGATGAACTGTCCATCAAGAAGGGATGGCGTCGAGATCGGTAATAAACTATACCTCGGCCTAGATGGGTGTGCATTCAGCCCCTGGAAGCATGTGTTGTCATCAACACACTACACAGCTGAGGAAGCTAACTGCCATCGCAATGCTGACAAGATAGTCAGGTGCGTAACTGCACTGGGCCATGCAAAATTTACATAGAGACGAGAGAAGAGAACAAGAGAGGACACCCATAGAGGTGCCTTCTTGCCTTTTTTCCGTTTTCCAAATGGGATTTCACTCACACGCCCTCTCTCTTCTTGTCTCCTCGGCTGTTTTTCACCATGCGCCATCATCATTCTCCCTCCTCCTCATCCTCCTTCGTTCTCGTCTCCACTCATCCTCCTCCGTCCTCCTTCCCCCTCCTTCCTCCTCCCTCCCCCTTCTCCTGTATCCTGCCGCCGTGTGCCTCGTCCTCATCATCCACCTCCTCCTCCTTCCTCGTCTGCCCTCGTCCTTCTCTCTCCTCTTCCCTCCTCTCCTCCTCCTCCTCCTGCCATCGTCTTCCATCTGGCTCTCCGGCAGATGTCGCCCAAGAAGTGGAATTGCATGTCAGACGTCAGAACTCAAAGTGAAGCTGAAAAGAAAAGCAACTAATACGAGTATCTGTAAGGCAAGGAGGAAAAAAAATAGATGTGCACAGATAAAGCCCTCTTACCTTCTCTCTTCTATGAGTAGACGTAGAGTATACAAGAACTGCATGATCTCTCTCTCTCTCTCTCTCTCTCTCTCTCTCTCTCTCTCTCTCTCTCTCTCTCTCTCTCTCTCTCTCTCTCTGTGTGTGTGTGTGTGTGTNTCTCTCTCTGTGTGTGTGTGTGTGTGTGTGTGTGTGTGTGTGTGTGTGCATGTGCTGTCATGTTCACTATACACTCGAAAAAAGCATGCCAGACTGTTTCATCGGACATTCACAGACTCATCAGGAGGTTGAACCCTGACGGTCTGCCCAGGATGTGCGTGTGTGCGCATGTGGTGTTCGCACGAGTGTGCTGTTGCAGGCTCTCCGCTCTGCTGCCTGCTATCCGGCGTCTTACCCCTTTCCCATCCCGTCTTCCCGTTTTCCCGTTCCCATTCGTGAGCGTTGCTACGTTCTTCATGAATGCAAACTGGATCGAAAGGGGCACGGCCTAACCTAGATGTTTGGAAACCACCAAGCCCTGCCGGCCGACGCAAAGAAACCAAAGGCCTACCGATTTGTCGGTTTGTTCCGCTCATCATCCAAGGCCCGCCAAGAGCCCAAGGCCCAAGATCTACGATGGGGGAACACCGAGGGTGCACACATGAGCAGAAGCGCGAAATAAAAAACCTCATCGGAACCGGAGATCTTAGCCAACCGACGCACCAAACTGTGGACAAAGTGAGCCCGTCGGCGTGCAGCGTCCGAAAAAATGGTGCCTGCTGCCGACGGGCTTTAGAGGGTTGGGAGAAGGGAGGATACTAACCTGTCACAGAGACGGAGGCTATCAGCGACCAAAGCAAGGCTACTTACATTTTGTGGACGGCAGCAGTGGAGGCAACTCCTTCAGAGATGGAGGCTACCAGCAAAGACTACTGACATTCCCTAGACAGGGTAAGCTGAGCAGGACTACTGACATTTCCAGCAAGGTTATTTTTCAGCATACAACCTCAAGCTGCATGTGGATGAGGATTGAAACTCTTTCATGCCGCATTCTGTTGTTGACATTGGTCTTTATCAGTCTGTATGCCACTCAGTATGTCTGCTACGCCATCTGAGAACACACGGGGCTGAAGCAGGTCCGCTGCACGTCATCTGAGAACACACGGGGTTGAAGCATGTCCGCTGGACAATAATCCAGCGGCACCCTAAACATCAGATCTGACGTATTAGTTTTCCCCCTCTTTTCTGCTTTCACTTAGGTCTATTTTAATTTTGCTTCTTTCGAAGGTCAGCTGCTCTTTTCTAAGAGCTTAATTCTCACTTTTCCATTCGAAGGCTTCATGAACTCTTCCAGTTGATCAGGTCGAACCACGCTCTCATGCCCGGGATTATTTCAGTGCAACCATTCTAGATCAGAGAAAACCTGCTCTTTCCCAAGGTAAGGCTTATGTTCCGCAAAGCACTAGCGGTGGAGGATAAACCTGTTGAGTACGTCACATATGTGGATATGTCGACGTATCAGATGGGACGGCTAGGAGCGTGTTTTCGTCAGAATGCTTCTGTCATTCTCCGTAACTATGCAGAAAGATCAGAAGCACCAATGTCTTCCCCAAACACAACACAGCCTCATGATATTAGCTGGAAGGCAGTCGGGACACAGCACAACAACTACCCACACGGTAAACATGCGAAGAGCACACAAGGAGGCGAGTATCCAAAACCAGATGCGAACAAAAAAACACAGAAGGGAGAACGGGACAGAACTCTCACCACCTTATTGCAACAGATGAACTATTGCTTCTGCGGCAGACCACTTGAACTGCAAGTGGCAGCACCATGCAGTGCTCGTTCTTGTGGAGACTGGTCCTTGCCTCTCGATCCAGCTGGATCCTCCTGGGCATTCAGCTGTGACTCAGGAGCTGAAGCATCCTGCCGATCATTCACATTGATCTCGAGAAGTGATTCCACAACGCAACGGCATATGGGACAGCGGTTCGTCTGGTGCCGAAGTTGGTCTGCACATTTTACACACATGCACTGCAAGCATGACCATCGTCAAAGCTAATTAATTCTTACAACCATCAGCAGTCACCTCACATCCTCATATCAGTCATAATTGAAATGCACTCGAAAGTATGCTACATCAAAGCTGCATTGCTGCTTGGCATCCCCAAGGACTCTACCTTCACAACACACACACCTTGAACTAAAGAGGCACAATTCACTGTTTCCTTTCCTTGCGTCCCTATACATCCCTATACATCTGTTTCCTTTCCTTGCTTCCCTGCAAGCACAATTCACTGAACATTTGCACTGCATCCCTCACAAGACGCACACACTGGGCCAACTGGAAACGCTAGCAAAGGCGCTCCTTATCTGGCAATGAAGATCAGCCACTAAAAGACACAAGATTTCCCCCCCCATCACACCATTCAGAAAACAAAGATGTGATTACAGAGAACAGTACACGAGGAGAAAAAAGGTGCACAGTATTGCTTCCGTCTCCACTCTGCAACTTCAAAAAGAGAACAGAGTACACAAGCAAATGAACATAGAAAATTTCAAAGTAAGATGTGCTTTGGGTTTTCACCAGAACAACAGATGGGTAGATCCAAACCAACCTTGCCTTACAACCTTCTACCAAGTTTCGTATGATATTCTAAATGATTGATCCGTCAACCCTCACAGGCAGAGCAGACAGCTAGAGACTGGCACAACAGACCAGTCAGGGTTTGGGCTGCAGAGTCGAGGAGCGGGTGGTGCCTATGGTACGCGGCCACCGCTGCAGACCAGAGAGGACCAGTTCATGTGTGGACTGTGAAGCACTGCATCCAACTCCCGCAGTTGCAGCATGGCTCCCACGTGCAAGGAACACAGAGGCACGGCTAGGAACACAAATGGTGCCATTCAGACACATCCCACAGCCCACATGGCTCCCACGTGCTAGGAACACAGACACGGCAACCACAAATGGACAGGCACTGCCGTTCCAGCCCCTGTCTGCAAATAGGATATGCCATGTCAGTGTGCCATGCATGAGTACAATGTTGAGTGCCATCATAAGTATGAAAACAAAAAGTCACATGGGGTACACGCTCATAATCCCTTACGAAACAAAGAATGCCAATCACGTGCTAGCCAAACATCAGCTGACACTCCCTGTCAACGGACAGGATTTGACGGTGACTGATCCGAAGTAAGTTTGTTTACCCGTTGCAAGATCTGGGGTCTCCCTGCACTACTCTATATTTGTGAAACGTTTCACGGTCTAGAGCTGTCAGACTCCAGAAAAGTCCCGAAACCCGCGCATCACCGCATGTGCTCTAGACTCTTGAACTTCTAGAGTAGCACTATGGGATCTGACAGTTTTTCATGACTGTGGTGCAGCGCCAGTTTCACTCTAGAAGTCTGGATGTGGAACCATCCCAAATGTCTCCCGGGTTTCCGCGAGGCATGTCTGGTCCGCCCGCCGAGAGCTCTCCTGCGTAAGATTCGGGCTGGAATTTTTTCCGCGACGGCACAGTACCAGAGCCGTAGGATTAACTAAAGTTTGTGGGCCTGATCGTCAGTTTCGAAGGCCCACGCGTTCTAGAGAACTCCTGAAAACCTAGAGTTCGGAAGCTTCACTACCAGACAGCGTCAGCATGGGTTGTCCGCCCAGACTCGAGGTGCGCTCAAGGAAATTCCAGGCGTTCCGTCGGTCCTTCGGAGCTCCCTAAAAAAAACGGTTGTTCCAGGCTGGTACTCAAGAACAGCCTAGAGCGAAATTCATGCCCCCCTTCTGACAGCTCATGAAATCCTGTAACTAGAGCAAAATTCTAGAGTATGTGCAGCGACGACAATTTTCTGTGGATTTCTTGAACTGTTTCTGACAGCTCGATGGTACCCATTTCTTGAGTCAGTGCGGCGGTGCTGCACTCTTGGTTTTGCACGAGTATAGTGTAGTGCAGCGACACCCCTGGTCTACAACTGCTCACGCTGGCGGCAACAACCTTTCAGTAGAGCGCACTGCAGGTGGTTCATGTGAGAGTCCCAGGCTGGTGTGCATGTTCCTCTTTTAGTGAGGAAAATGTGTGCATGTGTGAGGTAGGGTTTCTGTGTGACAGAGAGTATATCCCTACACTTACACAAATCCTTAATGCGAGAATTGGCCGATCCGGGCGACACGCGGCTCTACTGGTGCGGAGGTCCAGATTTTCCTGCAATCTTAAGACTCTAAGACTTCAAGATCGTGCAAAAATCCGGACCGTCGGATCCAGGCGATCTTTAAGTCTTACCATCGCAGGACGATCCTAGCCATCGGCCCGGTAGGACAATGGGCAGCCTGGATCATCGCAGCCGTTGAAAAGAGGGCGCGACAATTGGCCCTATCTTTGGCAGCACAGCGACATGGTGTATAGGGCCACAGCGGATGCTCTTGTCTTTGGCGGCGCAGCGACGTGGTGTATAGGGAACTTGACAACACGCACTCGTGGCCCCGCCCGTCCGCCCATCCACACAAGCACACACACAAACACTCATGCACATGCATGCACGCACCCACACGCACACACACAGATGCATGCACGAGGCGAACTTGACAACACTCACTCATGGCCCTGCCCGCCCGCCCGTCCGCACAAGCACACGCAAGCACACACCCACACACACGCAAATGCATTGTGGGCAGACTGTCAGCGTTCAACATCCTGATGAGTTGGTAAAAGTCCAACGAAACAGTCTGGCACAGTCATGCTTTTTGGGGGGTGGTTCTCATGAACCCATGAATTGTGTACGCGCGCACGCACAAGAGAGAGAGAGAGAGAGAGAGAGAGAGAGAGAGAGAGAGAGAGAGAGAGAGAGCCCCACCATGACAATGCTGACTGAGGAAGTGACGATGAAGATGAAAGATTATCACAATGGTGCCGGGAATGGAGAAAGGGGGCAGAAACAGGCTATGGTGGTTTCATTTTTCTTTCCTTACCGACTCTGATCGCGAAAAGGAGAAGAAGCGACATGAAGATGGGATATGATGATGGGATTGGGAGAAGAAAATGGGAATCAAAGAATTTGACGAGGGGAAGTGCGACGTTCGGGTGGTGGGGGAGAAGGGGGTGGCGGAGAGGAAGAGGTGGAGGAGGGAGGGGAGGAGGTGGAGGAGGAGGAAGACGAGGGGGAGGGCGGCGACGAGGACGAGGACGAGGAACACGAGGACAACGAGGATCAAGTGGCCTGCGCTGCTTGCTAAGCATGCCCAGCAAG